CAAACCCTTATCCTCCTAAATCACGTGGGAGTTGGGTTGTGATGCCCCACTCCTGCATTTCGCTTGATATTAGGACATTTCCAGTTCTCAGCACAGGGCAGGGTTCTCCTGGAACAGTGACACCTGAACCCTGAACCTCTAGGTGCTGTGCTAATGCCAATAGTGCCAACTTATTCTGTGTACCAACGGCACTCAGCAACGGAAAATGTCATGTACCAGTGGACTGTTTCTCAGATACAGTAGTGGTATTTCTGTCACCGCTCTAATGTAATGAATACATGCAAATTTATTAGGCTGTCAGTTGAACACGGTGACTCTTACAATCCAATTTCTTCCATATGAATGAAATAGACAGTTTTCGCGTATTTATTAAATAATGATTGAAAGCAATAATACAAGCTCTCCCAATAACAGTCTTTCCTAAAGGGCTGTGAATGATCTTAACTACAAACGGTAGTGAAATGCATAGAACAGTATGTATGTCTGTAAATTTAAATAAAACACGTTAGGACCATGAAGTACAAAATTCACATATATTGTAACATACAGGTACCAATAGTTCTCGAATAGCCTATCTAGCATTACAGTAAGATACAGTATCTATTCATTGCTGTCTAGCTACAAGACATGAACTCATAGGTAGCTGTGAAAAAAAAGTGATGCATTACTTTTATTAGAGCAAGACCTGGGACAGTGTTCTTAGTTTGATAGTTCTTAATATCTGCTTGAGGTTTCTTGTGTTTATAATAGCTTAATTTTACTACTCATGTTCTCTAAAACCAGGAACCCTGCCTCTAATATTTAATAACTGTGCAATGTGGCAAGTCATTTTTCAGAGAGGAGTGAAAATAGAAATGAAGTCGGTGAGGTTACATCGGCAGTGAATTTGTCTCAAGGCAGCAGTGGAGGAATATTTCCGGAAGTGGAAACTTATCTATGATCATTTTATTCTTCTTAATGTACTGGAAGAATAGTTTGCTCTAGTGCTTTGCTCTGAAGGCAGAATCTGCCTTAGAGCAACCATCTATCAGCTTGACCCTATTAAGGAAAAATTTCCTGAATTAAGTAAGGCAGACATGCGCGTATGTTAATGAAATCTTATCATGCAAAGAAAAAGATGTTAAACTTGCATCGTTCAATCGTTAAATAAGCCAACGTTACCATCTTCTAGTCAAAGATTTACTGTATAGTGCTAGCCTGACTGATTCTGCCCTCAGCATAAAATAATGATGGCAGTCTTGCTTAGAAAAATAACTTGCAAATTTTTGGTGTCAGGAAAATCTTAATCCAGACACTTATACAACAACTCTTTTCCCATGACATT